ATGTGTCACGACTTTTCTGACAAACCAATATGAACACTGTCTGCCCCTGAGAGTATCCCCCCCAGTATCCCTGATGGAGTGGGGGGGGAGGGGGATACTTGCTGAAGTTCCCCCTTCCGCATTGCTGGAAGCTTTGCCTCTGTCCTAATAAACTTTGCTTACAATCCTCTCCATTTGTCCACATTTCCAGTTCTTCATGAGCATCAGACAAGAACCAGCACACGGCAAAAAGACCAGCCCCCATCTGGACCCAAGCTTGCAGTTTATTCTTACCCTCCTCCTAAGAGCCAGACCATTAAAAGAGACCTCCTGGGTCAGCCTGTGATGTGGTGGTTAAGGCGCAGGTTTCCCATATGGCTGACTACAGTTTAAGATCCAGACCTACGGCTTGACAATCACACCAGGTGCCCAAAGTCCCGAGAGAAGGGATTGTGGCGTGGTCATACCCCCGGGGGTAACTCCCTCCCTCCCTTCCTTCCTTCCTTCCTTCCTCTCACCCACCTCCTAAGTGCACACACCCTTTGATAAACATCTGAAGGAAAAACACTTCTGAGGTGTGAGCCTGACCTGCTCAGGTCTCACCGTAGTTAGTCTTGCCCAGCTGTAACCTAACCTCTGCTCACATTTCTGCCCTGGGTTCATCCTTTTACCACCTGCACACTGGCCCTCCTGCCAGACTGCATCACTGCACGCTGAGTAGACAATTCTAGGTAAATGGTGTTCATTTATTTCAATATTTTTTGTAGATCACTCCAATCTCTTATTGTTTGTATGTCTTTTATTTTTTAAAAAGAGGATTTTGCCTTGGAGCGCATGTGCTCACTGTAGAGAGAGACAGAGACAGTGAGAGGGAAAGTGAGAAATCACCCCCTAAGGGGGATGGCTATACTGCAATCCCTGCTCCAGCCTCCTCCTGGGATCTTAGGCATGCATGTACACACACCCAGCATGAGTTTCAAGCCACCAAGTTCAGGACTCAAATCATGGTTAGCCATGTCCAGTGACATAACCGCTCTGCCATCTGCTGGCTCTGTTTGCATGTCTTTTAAAGAGAAGATTGATACAATTCTTTAAAAAATAAATAAAAGAATTGGGACCAGCAGATGGCATAATAGCCATCTGGACTCCCATGTAGTCGACCACAGTTTGAGTCCTGTACCCAGTGGCTTAAACTCACACCGGGTGCATGTGTGTGTGTGCATGCTCAAAATCTCAAGAGGAGACTGGGTTGCGGTGTGGCCATCCTCCATGGGGCTGGTGGTGATTTCTCACTTTCTGTCTTGCTCTCTCTCTCTAGCCAGTACGCACACCCTATAGCAAAAATCTCTCTCAAAAAAAATCATAATGTGTTTTACCATAGATGGCCTGTCATGATTTACTTGGCAGTGTCCCTCATCGTACCCACATCCTTAGGAATACCAAAAACAAACAAACAAAACCACATACAAAAATAACCCCAATATTATCCTATAAGATCAAGAGCATCCCACAGTGATGAAATATAGCAAATTTTAATTTTTATCAAAGTAACACCTGTACCCAGTTTCAAAAACTGAGTTGCTTTCTTTTCATTATTTAAAAAAAACTCCTATCTCATCCCTTTAAAAATTAAAATACTGTTTTTTTTAATAGAAGATTTTGCCTTAATAATGTTTCCTGGTGACCCCCAAATTATGCCAGGCACATGTACATGCATGCCCAAAGTCCTGGGAGGAGAATGTAGGAAAAGGAATTGTGGTGTGGCCACCCACTTGGGATGATTTCTCATTTTCCCTCTCTTTGTCTCTCTCTGGTGAGCACCCACACCTTATGGCAAAAACCTAAAGAAATTTTAAAAAAGGGGGGGATTGAATGCAGGTAGTTAGGTCCTTGCAAACTCATGAAAGGATAGGAGATCACAAAAGTCGGGTCTGGGAGGGGAGACACTTTAGTTTCAAAGTCACCAAAGCTGTGAGTGAGGTCAGGGTTGCTATTGCCACCCTGCTGCCATCACCGTTAACTGATGACACACATGAAACTGGGGACTGGTCAGTGGATTGGGGAATTTGACCATTTTGGTTTTGTTCAAAAGTAAAGTTCAAAGAGGGTTGTTGTTTAGTTTGTATGAGAAGTCAAAATTTCAAGATAGTCTGTGACGTGTGAACTTGCATGAGGTCTCTGATAGCCATTCAACCCATTTTAGCTTTTAATTTTTTCTTAAGAATTATTTATTTTATTTATTACTATTATTATCATTATCTTAATAATTATCTTATTTAAATTTGTTCATTTATTTATTTAAATTTGACCAGAGAGGAACAGAGAGAGTGAGAGAGAGTGAGAAAACAAGCTGTCAGGTCCAGGACTCAAACCACGGTCAGCCATGTGGGAGTCCAGTACCCTCAACCCATGGCACCTGCCAGCCCATTATTATTATTTTAAAATTTGCTATAGGCCATGTGCACTCACCAGAGAGAGAGGAAAAAAAAGTGAGAAAGCTAGCCACCAGGTCTGGGACTGGAACTGCAATCAGCCATGTGGGAATCCAGCTCCTCAACCACCATGCCACCTGCTGGCCCCTTGACTTTTAATTTTGATAGAACAAGGGCTGAGATCCTTACTCAAAGAAGTCTCTAGATGGCACCGGAAACATTTCTATAGCTCTCATGATCTCTTCTAGACAAGAGCAGGCTGTGTCATGGAGATGAGAATTCTAGAATTTTGGTCATATAATCACTTTAATTTTCATATAAATGAGGTTACAGGAAAGGTAAGCATTACTGATTTTTTTTTTTTAAAGATTCAGAATCTGCATTTCAGTTTCATGACAGCTGAACCAGAACAGAATTTCACAGTGTGTCTAGGCTCTGCAGATTTCTACCTGCAGAGAATGTAGCAAGACATTGTCACACTGCAGTATTTCCTCTTGGCTTGGAAAGTTCACCAAGCACTCCGCCTCCAGTCTCCTTCACAGTGCCAGCTGGGGGAAGAAAAATTAATTGGTTGAGTGTTCATGTGTGTGTATTTTAAGAATGATATTTTTTAGCATTTAATTTTAAGAAAACACCTGCTGTATTTCTTTTAAATAATGTATTTTCATTACATAGTGGTGCATGAATATATTTCCATTATAAGATAACTAAGATATTAAAGATTAAAACCTAGAGTCCTTGTGATCAGTACCCCCCATACCATTTCTCATCCCCTGAAGTAACCATGTATTAACTAAACAGCAGCATGTGTGAGTCATGGTAGGCTAGGTTATACTGCAATAATAAATATCCTCAAAATTTCAGAGTCGTGGGGCCAGCAGATGGCATAGTAGTTAAGGCACTGGACTCCCATGTGGTCAACCACAGTTCGAGTCCCAGACCCAGTGGCTTGAAACTCATACCAGGCGTGTGTGTGTGTGCGTGCCCAAAACCCTGAGAGGAGAATGGAGGAGAAGGGATTGTGGCATGGCCATGTCCCCTGGGAGTGATTTCTCACTTTCTGTCTCTCTGTCTCTCCAACAAGTACACATATCCTATAGCAAAAATCTCTCTCTACAAAAAAAAAATAAAAATAAAAAAAGGAAGAAGAAGAAAAATTCAGAGTCTTATGATAACAAAGTTTCCTATCTTGATCACCTCACATGTAATTCATGGATTGGTCCAGGTGAATCTCTGGACACAGGCTGAAGAAGCAGCTGAGACATGCCAATCTCATGGCAGAGAGGAAGAAAGAATGGAGGAACCACATAAAGCTTCAGCTCAGAAGTCTTGTGTGTCACTTTCACTCGCGCTCCCTTGGCCAAAGCAAACTGTTTGACCATGCCTGGCTGCAGTGGGTGGGGATGCACAGGGGACTTCGAAAAATTCTTGGAGAAATGGAATGAAAGTATGAGTTTATTTTGGTGCAAAAAATTTGAAATCCCTGCATAGATTTTTCATAATATAGAATTTCCCATAATGTTTTTGAGGATCCCCTTTTATAAATTTTCCACAGGGAGTAGTAGTTAAAAAAAACCTCCCATATTTTTCTGGGAACATAAAATTGTAGAAATCGATAACAGTATAAAAAGATTTTACCAGAGGGCATGTGCACTCGCCAGAGAGAGAAGGAGAGAGTGAAAGAGATAGAAAGTGAGAAAACACCTCCCGAATGAAGCCTGGCCACACCATGGTCCCTTCTCCATTTCTCTCTCCTGTTGGGATCCTGGGGATGCACACACACATGCCCACATGCCTTTCAAGCTTCTGGGACTAGGAGTCAAACTACATGGTCAGCTGTGTGGGATCTGGTTCCTTTACCCTCCAGGCTATGAGGCCAGCCCCTAGTAGACATTTTTATGTAACTTATTATGGTTGTGAATCTTACTTTCTTTATGCAAAAGTATGTCTTAGAGATCTTTCAATTTTATGAAAAAATAGATCCATCTCCTTTCTATATAGCTGCATAGCATGGTATCATATGGATAAACTATGGTTTATTTAGCTATTTCTTATGTGAAAAATTATAATTATTATAACTATTTTAGGACCAGTAGATAGTGTAATGGTTACATTGCTGGTCTCCATGTAGTTGACCTTGGTTTGAGTTCCAAACCCAGTGGCTTAAAACTCACCCTGGATGCATGTGTGCGTGTGTGCCCAAAATCCCAAGAGGAGAATGGAGGAAAAGGGATTGTGGCATGGCCATCTCCCGAGGGGATGATTTCTAACTTCCTTTCTCTCTGGCAAGTTCATGTGCCAGTTCATTAAAACAAGACAAAACAAAAACAAGCCTATTTTTAACATTTTATGATTGCAAAGGTGTAGCAAATATCCTTGCACTTCCCCTTGTGCACGTGCTTTTCTGGGGTGAGTACAGAGAAATGGCATTAGTGATGAACGACTCTCCAAAGGAATGACCACTTTCCTCTCTGCATCCTAAGATGACACACTCATTGGGAGAATTTCAAGGAGAGCTCAGTAAGAGGCCAGTTTACAAAGAATAGGCAGCCCCCCAGAGCTGGTCAGTGAGGCCATTACTATTTCCAGGACTGGAGGAGCAACTGGAGGAAGAGTCACATGGGATGAGATGGATGAAGACAGCTCAACAATGGCCCCACAGAGAAGGTGGTGAGGGAATAGTAGTAAATGCCCTGAATCTTTTCCCAAAAATCTGGTCTCGTTCTGGGCTGACCTCACCTGGATGAAAGAGGCTGTCTGTGGGTATTGCCCAGGCAATACCTCCCGGGAGACAGAACAGGAGGAGGAGAATGCAGAGCACATCTGGAGGAGCAAATAGAAGACATTCGACCCATCCACCATCTCACACCACAAAAAAGGACTTCATTGTTTGCCAACAGTATGGATAACACGTGCACATAATTGCATTTTTAATTTGATGGCCCTAGTTACTAGTGAAGCTAAGCAGTTTTTCTCATTTTTACTGGCAATTTGTATTTCCTTTTCTGTCCGTAAACTTTGTCCCCTCCCTTTTGTTAATGAGTTGGATAGAAATTTACCTCATGTGTGTCCCTTGCTATTTACCTCTGCTTTGTTGTAAGAGGTTTAAAAACGGTAATCTAATCAATCTTTTCCATTATGCTTTTCGTGTTGTGTCTTCCTTAAAGAGTCTTCTCTACTTTTAATTGATAAGTATATTCTTTTACATTTTTCTAATACTTTTTTTTTTTTTTAATTACCAGAGGGCATGTGCACTTACCAGAGAGTGACAGAGAGACAGAGAGAGAGAAAGGGAGAAAGTACCCTCCAGGGGCCGGCAGGTAGCGTGGTGGTAAAGGGTGCTGGACTCCCACATGGCCAACCACAGTTCAGGTCCCGAACCTGGTGGCTTACTTTCTTACTTTTCCTCCCTCTCTCTCTCTCTCTCCCTCTCCCCCTTTTTGTTCCTTTCTGGTCAAAATAATAAATAAATAAGTAAAATAATTATTTAAAAAATAAAAAGTAAGCACTCCCCAACGGGTCATCCCTAATGGATGTAAACATTGCACAATCCCTTCTCCATCTAGTTGAGATTTGGGGCATGTGCACACATCTGCTGTGTTTTTCTTTTTTCTTTTTCTTTTTAAACTTTTTTTTTCCCCAGAATTATTTTATTTAACTTTATTTATTTATTTATTTTAATTTGACCATAGAGGGACAGAGGGACAGTGGGGGGGGGGAGAGAGAGAGAGAAAGTGAGAAAGCAAGTCACCAGGTCTGGGATTCAACTGGTGTCTTACCAGGTCCGTGGCCAACTGTGGTCAGCCACGTGGGAGTCCAGCGCCCTTAACCACCACACCACCTTTCTTTTTTTTTTTCATTATTATTTTTTATATTACATTTAATCATATGTAGCTTTACAATGTATGACATTTCTTTTTCCAGCACAATTACCATGCTTATCAGTCAAGACAAAGACATTACTATACACATCATCGGCAGCAAATAGCTTTTCATTTTTATTATCCTTATATATTTTTTAAAACATTCAATCTGGGACCACCAGTTAGCATAATGGCTATGTTGCTGGATTCCCATGTAGTCGACCGTGGTTTGAGTCCTGGACCTGGTGGCTTAAATTCACGCCAGGCGTGTGTGCGCGCATGCCCAAGATCCCAAGAGGAGATCAAATGGTAGTTCTATTTGTAGATCTTTGAGGAATCTTCACATTGTTTTCCACAGTGGCTGGACCAATTTACATTCCCACCAACAGAGTAAGAGAGTTTCCCTTTCACCGCAACCCCAACCAACACATCGCTTTTTGTATTTTTGATCTTCTTGGCATGTTTTTCAAGCCACCAAGGCCAGGACTTGAACCATTGTAAGCCATGTGGAATCTAGCTCCCGCAATCAATAGGCTACAGGGCCAGTCCTTTAATGCTTTTAATCTTACAGAGTTTTTTTTTTAAGAAGTATTTTTATTTATTATTATTATTTCAAGAGAGACCAGCAGGGGAGAGAAACCAAGCTGCTAGGTGGGGACTCATACCGCAGCCAGCCATGTGAGAGTCCAGCGACCTAATCATCACTCCAGCTGCTGGCTCCTAATCTTATAGTTGTTTTAATCTACCTGGGATTTAGATTTGGAAATGATGTGCAGCAACAAAATCAAATTGATTTCCCAAATGGATAGTCGGTTGTCACAAAAGCATTTATTGAATAATACGTTATTTCCCTGTTATGTAAAGTAACATGTTTAAAAGAATTATTTATTTAGGGACCAGCAGGTGGCATGGTGGTTAAGGTGCTGGACACTCCCACATTGCCAACCACAGTTCAAGTCCTGGACCTGGTGGCTTGCTTTCTCACTTTCCCTCTCTCTCTCTCTGTGTCTCTCTCTGGTCGAATTAAAAAAAATAAAGTGAATGAATAAATAAAAATAAATCTTTTTTAAAAAGAATTATTTATTTAATTTTATTTATTATTATTATTTTGTAATCAGAGAGCAAGAGAAAGTGAGTAAGCAAGCTGTTAGGTCCAGAACTTGAACCGTGGTCTGCCATGTGGGAGTCCAATACCTTAACCACTAAGCCACCTGCCAGTCCCAAAATAACATCTTAATACATAATTGTAATGGTTAATTTTCTGTCTCAACTCAATTGGGCTAACAGATGCCCAGATTGCTGGTAAAACATTATTTCTGGGTATGTCTGTGAGGGCATTTCTGCAAGAGATGAGCTTTTGTTTTTGTTGTTGTTGTTTTTTGGGAGAGATTTTTGCTATAGGGCACGTGTGCTCGCCAGACAGACAGAGACATAGAGACAGAAAGCGAGAAATCACCCCCCAGGGGGATGGCCACGTCGCAATCCCTTCTCCTCCATTCTCCTCTCGGGATCTTGGGCACGCACGCACACGCGCTCGGCGTGAGTTTTAAGCCACCTGGTCCGGGATGCGAACCGCGGTCGACTACGTGGGAGTCCAGCGACATAGCCATTACGCTAACTGCTGGTTCCCATGATGAGCACTTGAATCAGTAAACTGAGTAACGATGATCCACTCCCACCAGTGTGGGTTGGTTCATCCAATAAACTGAGGGGCTGAAGAGAACAAAATGGTGGAGGGAGAGTGAATTCATTCTCCCCCTCTTTCTCTCTCTCCCTCTCTTTCCTTGAGCTGGGGCATTCATCTTCTCCTGCCCTCAGACAGTGACTTTGGAGCTCGTAGGTCCAGAGTTCTTCCACCTCTTTCTCGTTGTTGTCAGCCTTCAGCCTAGACTAGGAAACACACCATTGGCGTTCCTGGTTCATCGGTGTTCACAGCCTGAACCAACTGGCTTTCCCAGCAGATGGCAGATGGTGGGACTTCTCAACCTCCATAACTGCATGAGCCAATAATAAATCTCCTCTTTCATAGCTATATATATCCTATTGGTTCTGTTTCTCTGGAGAACCAAGCAATACAAATAAGTAATAAGTCCCCGTAAGTTCATTTGTGAATTCTCATTTCCCCCATGTATTAATATTTGTAAATTCCAGGGCTAGTAACGTTCTGCCTCAGTTATAGAAAACGTTTCACGTGTTTGATGTCTGGTAAGGCAAGTTGCTCCTTTTCTATATTTCTTTCCAGAGTTGCCTTTGCCATAGTTGCACAATTATTCTTCCGTTCGAATTTTAGTCTCAGCCTGCCAACACATAACAAATTCTCGTGGTATTTATTGGGACTGTACTGACTTTATGTATTCATTTAGAGAGAATTGATTTCCTTTTTGGATTTTGTCTTCCCCTTCCAGGAAGCTAACATATATTTCTATTATGTCTCACACTGATGGTTTATAGTTTTCTTTATAAAGGTCTGGCACATTTTAATAGATTAGTGTCTAGGACGCTAGAATTTTTCTTGCTGTTTTAAATGGCATATATTTTTTTCCATGATTTATAAAGTTTGGTTGTTGTATGTTTACCAAATTGCTAAACTTGATTATTAATTCAATACAACAGCCATTAGATGGTTGGTATGGGTTTTAAGAATTTTTATCTTTTAATAATACAGTTTTGGGGGCCAGCAGGTGGCATGGAGGTTAAGGGTGCTGGACTCCCACATGGTCCATGGAGGTTGGAGTCCTGGACCTGGTGGCTTGTTTTCTCACTTTCTCTCTCTTTCGCCTTTGCTCTCACTCTGTCCCTCTCTGGTCAAATTTAAAGAAAGAAAGAAAGAAAGAAAGAAAGAAAGGAAGGAAGGAAGGAAGGAAGGAAGGAAGGAAGGAAGGAAGGAAGGAAGGAAGGAAGGAAGGAAGGAAGGAAGGAAGGAAGGAAGGAAGGAAGGAAGGAAGGAAGGAAGGAAGGAAGGAAGGAAGGAAGGAAGGAAGGAAGGAAGGAAGGAAGGAAGGAAGGAAGGAAGGAAGGAAGGAAGGAAGAAAGGAAGAAAGGAAGAAAGGAAGAAAGAAGGAAGGAAGGAAGGAAGAAAGGAAGGAAGGAACGAAGGAAGGAAGAAAGAAAGAAAGCTAATGAAAATAATTCTTTTTAAAAAATACAGTTTTGACCCTTACTTTCTGAATTTTGAATTTCTTGACTTACCAAGATTTAAAAAAGAAAACTATAGAAGCCAGCAGGTGGCATGGTGGTTAAGGCCCTGAACTCTCTAGGGGACTGCAATTTGAGTCATGGACCTGGGGCTTGAAAATCACCCTGGGCACATGTGCTCACCAGAGAAAGAGAAAGAAAGAGAGAGGAGAGAGAAGGGAGAATGGAGAGGGGAGAGAGAGAGACAGAGAAAGCAAGCCGCTAGGTCCAGGACTCAAACTGCAGTTGGCCATGTGGGAGTCTAGCACCTTAATCAGCACACCACCTGCTGGTCCAACCCTCAGATTTTTAATATTGGAAGATACAGTAACAGTACCTGCCTCTCACAGTTATTGTGAAGGTGAGCACTTGATACAGTATCCGGTATGTGCTAGGGTCTTCAAAACAAGTGCTAACATGCTAGGAGGAAGATTCCAAAAATTATAATCTTGGGGACCAGCAGAGGGTGGAATGGTTACATTGCTGGATTCCCACGTAGTTGACTGTGGTTAGAGTCCCAGACCTGGCGACTTAAAACACGTGGTTTCATGTGCGTGCGTGCCCAAAATCCCAAGGGGAGAATGGAGGAAAAGGGATTGCAGCATGGTCATCCCCCTGGGGATTTCTCGCTTTCTGTCTCACGGGCCTGTGCACATGCCCTATAGCAAAAACTTCTAAAATAAAATATTAACAATAAATTGTAATTTTGGACCAGCAATCCTGGTGTGGTAGTTAAGGCAGCTGGATCCCAGGACGCCAACTGCACCATAGGAGTCCCAAAACCAGCAGCTTGAAAAACATGCCAGGCACAGGTGTGTGCATGGTCAAAATCCTGAGAAGAGAATGGAGAAGGGATTGCAGTATAATCGTCTCCCCTTGGGCGTGCTTTCTCACTTTCTCC